CGCATTAACCCACAGTATCACACCAGGACTAGGCTAGATGAATTTGTCACACCTTTAAATTTATAAACAGAAAATGATATAGCTGCCAAGTGGGTCATTCATCCAATCCTCAATTACTAATGCAGACCAGTGGGAAAAAGCAATAATTAAAGCAAATCCACTGAAAACTTCCCAGTGGAATTCTACCTTCTTATGATATCTTTTTTCTTTGATATTACAGTTTTTTTTAAGTGATCTTTTTTCTGTATTTTTAATTTATCTTTTGAATACATGTTTATGGACAAGAAAATTATTAGAAGAAAACCATACAAAATAGAGCTTGGTACTCAAACATAACATGTTGTTGTTGTTATGTGCTGTGGAGTCGGTTCCGACTCATAGCGACCCTGTAAAGGGTTTCCGAGGCTGTAAATCTTTACGGGAGCAGAAAGCCTCATCTTTCTCCCGCAGAACAGCTGGTAGTTTCGAACTGCTGACCATGAGATTAGCAACCCGATTCGTAACCATTATGCTACCAGAGCTCCTTCAAACACAACATAAATGGATGTAAATTACTAAAACAATACAGCTTTGACCTGGGAGTTAGCAAAGAATTTAGGAGAATTATTGGCCACAGATTAATACAGTGTTAGTCAACACAAAATCTTTGTTATAAAAACAATCCCTGTCAAAAAGAAGGGCTTCGGAAAGTCTTACACTACAATGGGAAAGTTGTTAGAATTTGTTGTGAAAATAAAAATCACAAAGGAGTTGATAATTTAAAACAACAACAAAACACCAACAAAACAAAAATCTTATTAGATCCACACAAAGCTTTTTACATAAATGTTTATAGTAGCATTATTCCTAATAGCCAAAAGGTGGAAACAATACAAATATCCACCCACTGATGAATGCATAAATTTATTATTGATTATTATTCAACATTTTTGAAGAGATGTAAAGTACTGAAACCTATTGTAACACACACAAATGAGAATGAGAGTCGTTCACAAAAGACTGCACACTACAGGGCTTTAAAAAGTTCAAAGAAAAACTCCATTATCTTTTCATTCCAATTTTCCATGAATTTTTGAAGCCATTTCTCATTATCTGATTCTATGTATATGAATTGTCCAGAATAGGTAAATCTATACAAACAGAAACTAGTTTAGTCACTGCTTAGGGATTCAGGCAATAGAATAGGAGAGCAGAGGAGGATGATAGCTAAAAAGGATATTGTTGTTGTTAGGTACGATCGAGTCAGTACCTACTCATAGTGACTATATGCACAACAGAATGAAGCACTTGTGGGTCCTGTGCCAATCTCAAATCATTGCTAAGCCTGAGCCCATTACTGCTTCCACTGTGCCAATCTATTTAGTTGGGGGGAGGAGGAGGGTCTTCCTCTTTTTCTCTGACCCTCCACTCTACCAAAAATGATATAATTCTCCAGAGATTGGTCCCTCCTGACAATATGTCTGAAGTATGAGATATGAAATCTCACCATCCTGGCTTCTAAGGAGCATTCTGACTGTACTTCTTCCACACAGATGGATTTGTTCTCTCCACAGTCCATGGTACTTTTAATATTCTCCTCCAACAATATAGCTCACATGCACCAATTCTTCTATGGTCTTCATTATTCAATGTCCAACTTTCACATACATAAGAGGTTATTGAAAATATTATGACTTGGGTCAGGTGTACCTTAGCCCTCAAAATGTCATCTTTGCCCTTAAATACTTAAAAGAGGATTTCTGCAGCAGATTTCCCTAATGCAATACATCTTTTGATTTCTTGCCTGCTGCTTCCATGAGTGTTGATGGTTGAAAAATTAACTCTTTGACAATTTCAAGCCTTTCTCCATTTTTATGAAAGTTATTTATTGGTCCAGTGTTGAGGATTTTTGTTTCCTTTACATCGAGGTACAACCCATTCAGAAGGCTGTGGTCATTGATCTTCATCAGTAAGTATTTTAAGTCCTCTTCGCTTTCAATAAACAAGGTTGTATCATCTGTTTATGACACGTTATTAATGAGTCATCCTTCAATCTTGATGTCATGTTTTTCTTCATATAGCACAAATTTTTAGATTATATGCTCAGTGTACAGGTTGAATAAGTATGGTGAAATAATACAGCCCTGACACACACCTTAAATGATTTTAAATTATTCAGTGTTCCCTTGTTCTTTTCAAACAACTACCACTTGGTCTATGTACAGGTTCGTCATGACCACAATTAAGTTTTCTGGAATACTCATTCTACACAATGTTGTCCATAGTTTGTCATGATCCACACACTCAAAAGCCTTTGCATGGTCAATAAAGCACAGGTAAACATTTTTCTTGTAGTCTCTGCCTTCAGCCAAGATCCATCTGATATCAGCAATCCACATCCTCTTCTGAATCTGGCTTGAACCTCTGGAAGTTCTCAGTCAATGTACATTGGCAGCCATTTTTGAATTGTCTTTAGCAAAATTTTACTTGCATGAGATATTAATGATATTATCTGATGATTTTCACATTCCATTGGGTTACCTCTCTTTGAAATGGTGACAAATATGGATCTCTTCCAGTCAGGTAGCTATCTTACAAATTTTTCTGCATAGATGAGTGAGTACTTCCACTGCTTCATCAATTTGTTGAAAGATTTCAATTTGCATTCCATCAATTCTTGGAGCCTAGCTCTTTGCCAATGCCTTCAATGCACCTTGGACTTCTTCCCTCAGTATCATTTGCTCTTGATCATATGTCACCTCTTGAAATGGTTGAACATCAACCATTTCTTTTTGCTATAGTGACTGTGTATTCTTCACATCTTCTTTTGATGTTCTCTGTATCACTCAATATTTTTTCCTGAAGAATCCTTCAATAGGGCAAGCCAAGGCATGAATTTTTTTTCAGTTCCCTCAGGTTAAGAAATGCTGAGTGTTTTCTTCCCTTTTGATTTTCTAACACCAGGTCTTTGCACATTTTGTTACAATATTTGACTTTGTCTGATCAAGCTGCTCTTTGAAATTTTTGATTCTGCTCTTTCACCTCATTTCTTCCATTTGCTTTAGCATCCTTATGCTGGAAAGCAAGTTGCAGTCTCTTTCGACTTTCATTTTGGTCCTTTCCTTCTTTCTTGTCTTTTTAATGACCTTTTGCTTTCTTCCTATATGAAGGTCTTTATGTCATCCCACAACTCTCCTGGTCTTCAGTCTTTAGTGTCTAGTGCATCAGATCTGTTCTTCAGATGATCTTTTATTTTAGTTTTTTAAGGAGATGAAAATGCTGTAATATTGACTCTTCTGACGGCATTATATATCTGAGAATATATTAAAACTGTTGAATTGCACATTGTAAATGTGTGAATTTATGACATGTTCAAATGGGTGAATATGTGGCATGGTTCGAAACTACCAGCTGTTCCTTGAGAGAAAGATGAGGCTTTCTGCTCCAGTAAAGATTTACTGAAACTCTATACATGTTTCAGAAAACCCTCAGAAACTCTATACAGGGTCACTATGAGCCAGAACCAACTCCATGGCACATAACCATCACCACCATATGGTATGTGAATTATATCTCAATAAAGTTTTTTGTTTTATTTTATTTTTAACTACCTAGTTGAAAAGGAGCAACACAGTTACAAGGAGAAATCTAGTTAATATCTTATAGTCCTGATGTGGTGCTGCAGTGTAATGTGATGGACTGCAAGGTCAGTTTGAGCTGCAAGGTTGGTGGCTTAAATCCACCAGTTGCTCCTCAGAACCTATCCAAGGTCATTAAGAGTCAAAATCAACTTGATGGCACTTAACATCAATAATATGTTGTAGGAAGAGATAGGCATATGTAAATAAAAGATGAGTGAATTGCTTTCTCAAGAAATCATGAGTGAAAGTCCATACTAAATGTTATTATGAAAGAAAATGTTTATGGGATATGGAAAAGAGATTCTAGTTTATTATATACAAGATATGGTTTTGATATATAAAACAGAGAACAATATTAAAAGCACCAAAAAAATAAGTCTTCTTACATTTATATTAAAATTTGCCTCATTTATTATTTTTCAGCAATTTTAGAACATATGATTAAGTCTACTTGTTTTTACATAATTCCTTTTTTTTTTTTTTTCAATTCAAGGAGAGACAAATCAATGGGGACTGAAAGCTGAAATATATTTCAAGTCAATATAAGTCAGCAAAACTATCATAACTGAATTTTATAACAGGCAAGTGCAAAGTAATTCATTAAAGGATTATTTCAAGTATGTACAATATATATCAAAAAGACTGTAATTAGTGAAAAAATTTGAAAAAAAATCATTTAGTCATTGAGAAATCCCTCTTATCATGCTAATTTGTAACAATGATTAATCTAATTTAATACCAGTATTTCCAAAAAAAACCCAACAACAATAATTTACTTATATCAAGCAAACAGTAAAGAGAAGAAACAAAGAAGGGGAGGGAGGGAGAGAGATCAAAGAAATAGAAGAAGAGAGAAAGAGAGAGAAAAAAGAAAGGAAAGCAGAATGAAAGGGAGGGAAGAAAGAAAGGAAGGTGAAGGGAGGGAAAGAAGAAAACTTGTATATTGTTTTCATGGTTGGGTACGTGGTTTTTTTCCTTTTGGATATATAGTTGTTGTTGTTAGGTGCCATTGAGTCAATTTTGACTCATAGCTACTCATACAGTTTCCAAGGAGCAGTTGGTGAGTTTGAACTGCCTATCTTATGATTCAAAATGGCATTGTGGTCCTGCACTTATCCTACAGCACCTCACCAGGACTCCAAATACATAGTAGTACTCACTAATAAGTCAATCATGGTAAACCATTAATAAGAATATCTCAAGGCAGAAAAGTTAATAATTATTGTAGATAATTTTGGAATCATCAATAAATTATTTGAGGTCTGCTTTAGTCAACATTTACAAAATAAGTCTCAGTTTTGTATTTGCTTCTTTACCATTATGTTGGTTTAAAGTAGCACGTTGATTCAAAGAAGACATTAATGAATAAGTGATGTTTACCTTCTCGTTCTGACCTATTGTACAATGAAACAGTTGACATAATATCTTCAGTCCATTTAACCGGAATATTCCATGTGTAGCTAAAAATTTTAAGAAAGAAAAAATAATTGGTACTCTGAAAACTAAAAATAAGTGGTCATAGATTTATTTATTTATATTCTCCTTGCAGGTGACCATCCAATGTATAGTATATAATTAATACAACACTCTTTAGTGATAAGGATAAACCATGGAAATGCTCTCAATGTTTATGAATCTATAAAACATGAAAATTTGCACCAGAAGATAAGCTAAGAATTAAGAATATTTCATTTAAACTCCTTGTAGTTTTGGAATAAACATATTGTGTAAATACAGCATATTATATTATTGAGTATTCACACATATACCAGTTGTGAATACCATATGCCAGAATATAACATATTAAAATATGTTTTAATATCTTTAATATGCTATATTCTCCCTCAAGGAACATGGAACGCTTTTTTAGAATTCAGAAATATTCTAGAATACACTGAAGGAAATAAGACAGGTAAAAAATACGTTAAAATTATGCACTACCACCATTCCTCCAAGTTTTTCATGGTCTTTTTTACTGTCTCTTATTTAAAGTTATGTGACCCACTATACTGCAAAGGAAAATCATCAGGTAAACATGTTTCAAAAGTTTGATAACTTTGTTCTCTTTAGCTAACTTAGTGTTTCCTTGTTGGGTGGGGAGAAGAGAAAAGTGTTTTGTTGTCGTTGCTGGTTTTGCATTTTATATTTCACATGTATATTTCACATGATATTTAATTAACATTTTAGTCTTGAAATGTTATAAAAGAGATCTTAGATATCTTTCTTCCCCTTTAATTGAATACTTTATCTTGTTAAGATAGCAATATTCTTTAAAGTAATTTTATTTATTTATTTTTTAATGTTTTTATTACTAATTGAGTGAAAGTTTACAGGGCAGATCATTAGTTCTACATTCAACAAATCATACACCTTGTTTCATTACAAAGATTATAATACCCTCCATGTACCATCATTTAACAGTATTTCTCCCTATTCACTTTAGAGCTTTTTTTGTTGTTTTTAATTTTTTTTTTTTTTTTAATATTCAGGTTTATATAATAATTTACACCACCAAAGGGCACATTCTGCAAGTCTGCCTCCTGTTTTGATCCTTTGTTCTTATAGCAGCTATATTTGGTCAAAAATATAGGAAATCTAGAGAGAAGGTAAAATCTGTGCTCTATTGGTTGGTTTAGGTTTCAACACAAAGTTGGTCTTGTTTTTTCCCGTAATCATTCAAGTCCCTAACAGAGAAAGAAAGTAGACATTTCTACTTTTCAAGATATAATTTTAAAAAATGTAATCAAGAAGAATACATTTGAGCATGCTATCAGGAGGGACTAGTCTGTGGTAAAGTAGAGGGTTAGCAAAAAAAAAAAGGAAGACCCTCAATGAGATGGATTAGTACAGTGATTGCAACAATGGGCTAAAACATAGCAATGATTGTGAAATGGCACAGAACTGGGCAGTGTTTCATTCTGTTGTACATAGGATTGCTATGAGTTAGAACTGATTGAGAGGCACTTAATAACAACAACATATGAAAGAATTAATCCTTTGTTTTATAACTATGACAATGTTTTTTAGGTTTGAGTTTTTAGTAGCTTCCTTGGAGATTTTATTGTGGGGGAATGCTTTTGACTGTAAGTTTCATAAAGCTGTTACATAAAATGTTTCTTGGTCCTTATAATTGAAATGAAAATTGTCATTGTCATGCTTCTGGACCCCAGCCATTACCTGCATTTTATTTCCCCTTCAGAGGATTGTCCTCAGGCTGCCTGAGCAAGGAGTCTGAAGAGTAAGAAAATTTACATCCTCCTTAGCCAATGTCAGGGACAATGACTAAGACTCCAGAGGGTCCTGGAATCTGCTTTAGCTACCTTGACCTTATCAATGGGGACCACTCTGAAGTGCAATCCAAATTGTCTCCAGAACGTTCCTGAAGGACTGAGCCAAAGCTACCATCTTTAGGACTTGCATGATAGTGTACCTTTGCTGGCCTTTCTTTTCCTGTGGTAGCTCTCCATTCCCCTCACAATCTTTCCTAGAAACACTTTGCCATAAGTCACTTTCACTTGAATGATCATCTCCACATCTACTTTTAGGAAAGCCGCCCTAAGAGAGTTCCCTTGGATTTTCTCAAATAAGAAAGACAAAAACAAAAACAAAAACCAAAAACACATCCCACCTACATATTTCACTCTTTCTTACTTATCTACTCTGCTGACTTAATGCTGCTAAATAAACATTTCATTCCTCTTCACTCTTCCCTAACAACATTCCTGCTTTATTTGCACAGTCAGGACTGCACAATGTTGATATCCAGCCTACATAAAGGTCTCTGGGACTACACTATGCCTTAAGATATACTACTATGATCATGTACTAAAATAATTCTTGGAGGTTGCCAAGGTTATCACAAAACCAAACTGTAGAAGGTGAAAGATATGCAATTTTATTGTTTTAAGATCACTTATAGAATCTATTTTTTCCTATCTTTTTTATTCTTTCCAACAAATAGGGAAGATTGCAGAAGAAATTAGATTTGGTTCTGTACGCGATCTTAAAACTATCGTTGCTAGGTGCCATCGAGTTGGTACCAACTCATAGCAACCTTATGTACAACAAAAATACTGCCTGGTCCTGTTTAAACTTCACAAGGGTGGTTATGCTTGAGCCCATTGCTGTTGTCACTGTGCCAATCCATCTTATTTGGCGTCTTTCTTTTTTCCTCCAATCTTCCACTTTACCTAGCATGATAGACTTCTCCAGGACTGGTCCCTCCTGACAATATATCCAAAGTATGAGAGTTGAAGTCTTGCCATACTTGCTTCCAAGAATTATTCTTGTTGTTCATGGTAGTCTTAATATTCTTCTCCAACATCATATATCAAATGCATCAATTCTTCTATGGTCTTCTTTATTCATTTCCAACTTTCACATGAATATGAGGTTATGGAAAGTACCATGGCTTGGGTCAGACACAGCTTAGTCCTCAAAATGACATCTTTGCTCTTGAACACTTTACAGAGGACTTCTGCAGCAGATTTTCTGCTGCTTCCATGAATATTGATGGTTGATCCAAGCAAAGTGAATACTTTGACAACGTCAATCTTTTCTCCATTTATGTGGATGTTATTTATTGGTCCAGTTTTGAGAATTTTTGTTTTCTTTACATTGAGGCACAACCCATAATGAAGGCTGTGGTCTTTGATATTCATGAGTAAATATTTTAAATCCACTTTGCTTTCAGAAAGCAAGTTTGTATCATATACATGTCTCAGGTTGTTAATGAGTCTTCCTCCAAACCTGATGCCTTGTTTTTCTTCATATAATCCAGCTTCTCAAATTATGTGCTCAGCATACAGATAGAATAAGTGTGATGAAAGAATACAAACCTGGCCCACACTGCCAGAAGACAAGCACCTCATTTTGGAAGGCATTAAAAATATAACCGGGGAAGAGCTGCCTCCTCAAAGTACAATTGACCATAATGAAGTAAATGGAGCAAAGCTTTTGGGACCATTTGCTGGTGGGGCACAACTCAAAATGAGGAGAAACTGCTGCAAATCACCATTAATAATCAGAACATAGAATGTCCAAAGTATGAATCTTTGTTCATAGATTCATGTCTGGATATTAATCCCTTTTAATATCTGTATACAAATCCCTTATCAGATATATATTGTTGTTAAATGTCGTGGAGTCTGTTCTGACTCATAGTGTCACACCAGGATTCCTTTCAGATACATGTTGTTGTTGTTGTTAAGTGCCATAGAGTTGGTTCCGACCCATAGTGACCCTGTATAGGGTTTCCGAATAGCATCTGGTGAGCTTGAATCACCAACCTTGCAGTTCAAATGGCTTTGTAATCTGGCGCATTAACTCACAATGCCACACCAGGACAAGGTACCCCCAAATTGTCTCCCAATCTCTAGGTCATATGTTCACTTTTTTAAAGAAGTTCTTTGAGTAGCAGACATTTTAAATTCTTATTGTTGTTGTTAAATGCCGTTGAGTCAATTCCAATTCATAGTGACCTCTATAGTTTCTGAGAAGTGGCTGGTGAGTTTGAACCACCAACCTTGCAGTTCAAACCTACCTTGTGATTGAGTGCGTATCCTACAGTGGCACACCAGGGCTCCTAAATTCTGATAGAGTCTAATTTATTTATTGTTTTCTTTTTTTGCTCATGCTTTTAGTGTTATATTTATGAACTCATTGTTAAAAACTAGGTCCCAAAGCATTGTTGTTGTTATTAAGTGCCATTGAGTCTGTTCAACTTGTAGCAACCCTTTATGGGGTTTCCTAGGAGTGTCTGGTGAGCTTGAATCACTGACGTTATGGTTCAAATAGACTTTACAGTCCAGCACATTAACCCATAGTGCCACACAACAACACCTATATTTTTCTAAAAAAGTTTTATCATTTTAGTTCTTACATTTCAGCACTTGATACATTTTGAGTTAGTTTTATATATGGTTTGAGGTATGAGTCTGTTTTCATTTTTTTGATGGCTGGAAATCTTGTTGTCTTAAAACTATTTATTAAAAAGATAATTATTTTCTCATTGAAATGACATATCATTGTTGTTAAAAAAAATCAGTTGATCACAATGTCAGTTGATCATAGAAATATGGGTTTATTTCATGACTTTCAATTTTATTACATTGGTCTATATGTTAGCATTATACCAATACCAGGTTGTTTTAATTATTGTAGTTTATGTTTTGGGATCAGGAATTGTTGAGGCCTCCTATTTTGTTATTCTTTCTAAGATTGCTTTGATGATGTAGAGCCCCTTGAAATTCTGCATACAGCTGACAATTAAATTTTTCATTTATGCAAAGTAGACTGTTTGAATTATGAGGGTAATAATGTTGAATATATATATCACTTTAGGTAGTACTGATACCTCAACAATATTAAGTCTTCTCGTCTATGAGCATGAACTATCCTTCTATTTATTTGGTCCTGTAAAATTTCTTTTAGTAAT